CATCTTCATTTTCTTTTTCATCTTCATCCTCTCTACTCGCAATATTCTCTTCTTCCATCTTCCTCTCCTCTGCTTCCACATTCCTATTCTTCTCTGCCTGTGCAGCCTCTTCGCACAGTCTTTCAAGCATGAGAAACTCCCTTAAACTAGATGAGCACTCGCTATCTTCATATTCGTATTCGTATTCATATGCATATTCATAATCTCTACTCTCAATGTCAATTTCAATCTCATCTTCTACTGCCTTCTGCACTGCCTTCTCACTAGTATTCTCCTCTTCTATTCTATTCTTGGTCTGCTCCGACTCTGCATACTCTTCACACAAGCTTTCGAACGATGGAAATTCGCCGAAGCTAGAGGAGCATTCGGTGTCGGCGTCGGGGTCGGTGTCGGTTTCGGTGTCTTCTCTACCTTCGATCTCCTCTTCTACCTCCTTCTCCTCCACTGGATTCTCATTCGTAGCCACCTGGTCTATTCTATTTCTCACTCGCCCTATCTCTTCATCGCGTGCGTTATTTGTGGTCTCTTCTCCTGCTTCCACAGGTTCAGCTACCCTCATAGACGAGTCTTTTCTGACTCGCCTACGTCGAGTAAGCCGAAAGTAACGATGCGCGGTTGGTACACAGTTGCCCATTGCAAAAATTTAGCGAAAGTGAAAATTTGCAGCAGTTTTTTGTTTACAGCGAAAAAATCCATGGAAGTATTGATCATCAATTAGGACAATTTTCTCGAGCGCGCATTGATTAATCTACTCGAATAGCAGTTTACGCCAATAATTAAAATTGCCAAAAAGTAGATCATATTACTTTTATTATTCTCCTCCGTTTTTGTCTTACTTTAATTTTGATTATTACTCTGATTATTACTATTTGAATACTAATTGTTCCATTCATAGGTAGAACGCGTTTATTTTGAAGCATGAGTAAATGCTATTTGGAAAATACAAGTAATTGAGAAGTTAGCAAGGGCTAATGATTGTCATGTATTGTGGAGGTGTGGTTGAAATGAAGTTCACTAGGAGGAGTGGATGCATGTGCTAGTGCATACCTGAGTGATCCATTCCAAAGAGCTTGCACTGAACTCTTCCACATCAACATTAAAGTTGGCATTCTGATAAGTGACATTTCAACCATCATCGCCTGACATTGGAAAAGTACCTGATGACATTTTTGTCACTTGTTGAGAAATAGCTATATATATATATACCTCCTATATGGAGGTTTTTCAGGTTAAGAACACTACAACGGGCGAAAAATTCTAAAATTCTTGCATGAAGAGCTCTAAGGCACTAGTCCTTTGCCTACTTCTTGATCCATTGGCCACTTTCTGTGAAACGGTTTCAACTCCGTATCTTTGCACTTCTCTCAACCCACACCTTACTGCCTCTGTGTTCTTGGTGTTCAAATGTTCTTCCACGTTGCACATTCATTCTCGTATTATGTCGTTTAATAAATGAATAAAGAAATAAATAGATGATGGTTATCTTATACTATTTGGTATTGCTTAGGAGGAAGGGTATTCAATTTCGCAGCCTGGTAGCATTTTGACATGCGCTCTGAAGAGCCTTCAGTTTTTAATTCTGCCTTTCCCAAGTATATCTGAGATGTACAAAGTGAGAGCAGAGCTCATAGGAATTTGTAGATGGATGCGTAGAATACCTTCCCACCTCATGAGTCTGGTGACCACTTGGTTGTCACTACGAGATCATTGGCAGGCAGACTAGTGGTATTGTATACTTGGAGTTTGTGGAGGATACTGCTCAAATAAGCATATTGCTAAAGCTCTTAGAAGTCTGTGTGGCTGCAGACAAATGCAATAACAGAGGCTTCTAGCATTAATAATTGCTACCACAATTAGCTAGGCATTAGTGAAAGTAGTTAGAACATAGAGGCTCAGTGCTTTTTATTTTCTTGTTTGGTGATCTTAGCCAAAATGAAAGGTGTTTGGTAAAGTGAACACCTTCTTCAACCGCTTGAGTTAGTACAATGGACCTGAGAAAATGCCTGTCCAGATTATAAAGTTGGCGTGTGTACACCTATTGGGTTCAAATTGTCGATAAACCGCTCGTTTGAACCAACTCTGGACGCGATTCCCTTCGATTAC